CGACCACTCGGCCACCTCTCCGTGGGGGCGCATTGTACCTACAACTGTTGTACAAATTACAGCCGCAGCGACGTAATTTGATAACAATTTCTGTTCCCCAACCAGGTGCTTCGCTACAATTTGATCAAATTCCTGATTGAGGCGCCCGCTACATGTCTTATCACCATCTGGCCATCGCTACACGCGACATGTTGGCAACACACAAGTTCTACAGCGACGCTATGGGATTCGAACTGGTACGGGTCGAGAAAGCACAAACTGGCCCCGACGCCTGGGCCAAGCATTTCTTTTACGACACCGGTGACGGCACCATGATGGCATTCTGGGAAATTCACGACCCAGCCGTCGCAGAAGACTTTCCGACCTCTATTTCTACAGGTCTGGGCTTACCTAAATGGACCAACCATATCGCCTTTGGTGTTGATTCACTGGAAGAGCTGGATGCCGCCAGAATAAGAATCAATGCAGCTGGTTTTGATGTTGCAGAGATTGACCATCACTGGTGTAAATCCATTTATGTCGATGACCCGAACGGCATCATGGTTGAATTTTGTGTGACAACAAAAGCGTTTGGTAAAGATGACAAACAGCGTGCCCTGGATGCGCTGACCAGTGACCAGTTGGCTGATGAACCACCGCCCATCATAAAAGTCTTCGAAGCCGGTTAGGCTTTTTCAGGCGTCCTGGGGATTTAATGGTGAATCCGCATCTGGCGGGTCGTCCTGAATACGGTCATAGATTTCTTTACGATGAACGCCCACATCTCTAGGGGCGTTAACGCCGATACGGACCTGATTACCTTTCACACCAAGCACGGTGATACTGATGTCGTCACCGATCATAAGTGTCTCCCCCACTTTGCGAGTCAGAATTAGCACAGATCATCTCCTTTGAACGCTCTGGAGACAGTTGACTATCCAGGGTCAGCTGTTTTCCAGGTCGAATTCAGAGTGTAGTGCGCGCACAGCAAGTTCCATATATTTTTCCGCTACTACAACGGAGATCTTTATTTCGGAAGTTGAGATCATTTGGATATTGATGTTTTCTGAAGCCAGGCAATCAAACATCCGCGTAGCAACACCTGCGTGTGAACGCATGCCAACGCCCACAATCGATACTTTTGCAATGGTGTTGTCGCCGTTGATTTCACGGGCATGTATCTCTTTGGCCACAGTTTCGAGCAGGTCGCGGGCGCGATCATAATCTTCACGCTTCACCGTAAAGGTGAAGTCAGTCAGCCCATCAGCGCCTGTGTTCTGGACAATCATGTCTACTTCAACATTCGCCCGACCCACAGGGCCCAGAATTTTTGACGCGATTCCGGGTATATCCGGTACCCCGGCAACAGTAAGTTTTGCTTCATCACGGGCATGGGCAATACCAGATACTAGCGGTTGTTCCATATTGTCATTCTCAATGGTGATCAATGTGCCGTCGCCGTCAACAAACGTAGACATCACCCGCAAGGGGACTCGGTAACGGCCTGCAAATTCAACTGAACGTGGGTGTAACACTTTTGACCCCAGGCTGGCCAACTCCAACATCTCCTCGAAGGTCACTTGAGACAATCTGCGGGCGGACGCCACAACGCGCGGGTCGGCGGTATACACACCGTCAACGTCCGTACATATCTCACATTCATCAGCGCCCAATGCAGCCGCCAGCGCTACCGCACTGGTATCTGACCCGCCACGGCCAAGCGTTGTCAGATCACCATTAGGATCTACCCCCTGAAATCCAGCAACAACAGGAATTGCGCCTGCTTCCAGCGCAGCTCTCAGCGCATTCGTTTCGATATGGCTGATGCGAGCTTTGCCGAAGGCGGAGTCCGTTTTTATGGCGACCTGGTCACCCAACATTGACTTCGCTGACAGCCCGAGGCGCTGCAGTGCCATGCTCAACAGGGCTATGCTGACCTGCTCGCCTGAGGCGGTCAGCACATCCATTTCACGAGCAAACGTGTTTGCACCGGAAATATCTTTTCCCAACTGAACCAGACGGTTTGTCTCGCCGGACATGGCTGATACAACTATCACTAACTGATGTTGTTGGTCAGCATAGCGCTTGATACGTTGGGCTACTTGTTGGATACGATCAATATCTCCAACACTGGTGCCGCCGTATTTTTGAACAATAAGTGCCATAACCAGCGTTATCCCAATTGCTCGGATACAAAGGCCTGAGCCGCGGCAAAAGCATCAGCCAGACCTGACGGATTATCGCCGCCACCAGCACGCGCGAGATCAGGACGACCGCCGCCTTTAGCACCAACCAATGGACCAAAATGTGCCATGATGTCCGGCGCGCTGACTATATCTTTCACCTGTTTAGAAACACCGATGACAGCACCGACTTTACCCGCATTTACCTGAGCCAGAATAACAACACACTCTCCCAGCTGAGAGCGTAACGTATCCAATGTCTGCATCATGGCTTTGTTGTCACCCTCCACTTCACTGGCAAGAAAATTAACGCCATTGATATTCACGGCTTGCGAAGCCAGATCTGATCCCTGACTGGCAGCCATCTTCTGTGACACTTCAGCCAGCTGCTTTTGCAGCTGTTTATTTTCTGCCAGCGTATTCTGCACTCGATCGATCAGTTCCCCCCGGCCAACTTTTAGCAGCTGACTCAGTGCCTCCAGCAGATGATCTGTTTCCCGAATCAAGGCAAGAGCACCGTTTCCGGTCACCGCTTCAATACGACGAATGCCTGCAGCGATACCGGTTTCTGCTGTGATTTTCAGTAGACCAATATCACCGGTTCTGTTGACATGGGTGCCACCACACAACTCTACGGAGTAACCACCGCCCATGCTCAGCACGCGAACCTGGTCACTATATTTTTCACCAAACAACGCCATCGCGCCTTTGCTGACCGCATCGTCATAATTCATTAACGCCGTCTCTACAGCACTGTTCTTTTGGATGTGCGTATTGACCTGGTCCTCAATGGCCGAGAGTTGCTCCGCCGTAAGGGCTGCGCCGTGCGAGAAATCAAAGCGCAGCTTTTCATCATTGACCAACGAGCCTTTCTGTTGCACGTGCTCGCCCAGCACATTACGCAGCGCTGCATGCAGTAAATGTGTTGCGGAATGATTAGCTCGGATACGATCCCGACGAATCTCGTCCACTTCAGCCAGAACCGGCACGTGCACACTCAAACTGCCTGCCTGCATCGCGCCGACATGCATATGTTGATTGCCCGTAATCAGGGTATCTTCCACCTGAAAGAGTGCATCGCCTGCAACGAGCCTTCCCTGATCACCGACCTGCCCGCCAGACTCCGCGTAGAATGGTGTGCGATCCAGCACGACAACACCACGCTCACCTACCTGCAGGGCAGTCACTGCCTTACCTTCCAGGTCAAACAAGGCTTCTACTTCTGCTTTTTCGGAGACACCCTCATAGCCCAGAAAATCAACTGCCGAGGCAACACTGACACGCTGAGCCAGGCTTGTACTGAAGCTTGCTGCAGCACGCCCACGTGAACGCTGGGCTTCCATGGCAGTTTCAAAGCCGGCCATGTCAACCTCGAGATTACGTTCTCGGGCAACATCAGCGGTGAGATCTGCAGGAAAACCGTATGTGTCATACAGCTGAAAAACAACGTCGCCGCTGAGGGTGTTGCC